GGATTTTTTGTCCTTTGTGCTTTTTGCGTGTGCCCAATGACTCAGTGCCTGACCCATGAAGGGAACATAATAAGCACTCTTAAAGAACCAGGTGTAATTTCCTTAATTTTCTTATTTTTCACTTTCTATGTTATTGGTCCTTGTTCCTTTATTATTTTATTCTGATTACTTTTAGATTTGAATTTTGTAATTTTCTTTCTCCTCCTTCCTTTTTTGGGGGGGAAGGGCAGTCTCATGTAGCCCATGATGGCCTTGAGCTTGCTGTTTAGCTGAGGATAGCCTTCAATTTTTCATCCTCCTCTAAAGTATGCATCATTATACTCAGCCAGGGTGTGTGTGTAGACTAGAGGATAACCTTGGGTTGTTTTGTTTTGAGACAGTCTTTCACTGGTCCAGTACTCAACACATCGGCTAGGTTAGCTGGCCGGAGAACCTTAGCTTTTTTCGAGACAGATTTTCTCTGTATTGCTTTGGAGCCTGTCCTGGAGCCTCTCTCTGTAGACCAGGCTGGCCTGGAACTCTCCTCCCCGGTGTTGGATTAAAGGCATGTACCACCAACACCTGGCTGCTTTATGTAATTTGAAGGTTTGTTATTGGAGCCATAGTGTGTGTGTGTGTGTGTTGCTGCCAGTTAAGCCTGAGGTCTTGCACTCGCTAGGCAGGTGCACCCCCAACCCACATCCCAGCCCCTGCCCTAGTTTTCCACTTTTTTTGTATTTTGTTTTTTGAGTCAGGCCTTCACTGTGTAGCCTTACACTTGTGATCCTCCTGCCTTAGCTTGGGAAGTACTAAAATTAGAAGCTGGGGCTAGGGCTCTCATACCCAGTTTGTTTGTCTTTGTGTATGTAAGTATGCTTGTGTTTGGAGGCCAGTGATTGGTGTTCACTGTCTACCTCAATTGTTCTACACGTTGTTGTTATTATTTGAAACAAGGTTTCACAATGTAGTCCTGGCTGACCTAGAATTTACCATGCAGACTAGACTAGCCTGGAATTCACAGGGATCCACCAGCTTCTGCCTCTTTCACACAAGCCACCATTTTTGGTTTTGTTTTTGCTTTTGTTTTGTTTTTTGGTTTTTTTGTTTGTTTGTTTGTTTGTTTTGTTTTTTCGAGACAGGGTTTCTCTGTGTAGCGTTGGAGCCTATCCTGGCACTCGCTCTGGAGACCAGGCTGGCCTCGAACTCAGAGAGATCCGCCTGCCTCTGCCTCCCGAGTGCTGGGATTAAAGGCGTGTGCCACCAACACCCGGCTTTGTTTTTTTTGTGACAGAATTGCACTATTTAGTATTTGGCCCTGCTAGTCTAGAACTTACCATGTAGCCCAGTCTGGCCTTGAAGTAACAATCCTTCTGCCTCACCTTCCCCAGGTGCTGGAATTTGAGCTACTACAGGTAGCTAAATTCTTTAAAATAAACACTGGTAAGACAAAGTTGGTAGCTGGACCTGCTGTCACAGGCTTGTCAGCCCAGCTGCTCGGGAGGCCGAAGCAGGAAGAACTTGAACTCCCGATCAGCCTGGGTAGTTTATGAAGACCCTTGTCTTATCTCAGAACACCAATCAGGCAGACAAAGGAAGTTGCTGGATTCGCTCCTGTCCCTGGCTCTCCGGGACACTGAAGTGTTTCCAGTTATGGCTACAGTTTGCCAGTTTGCAGCATACAGTAGACACTCGTGTTTACTGACCTCTGCCTCTGTCCCCAGGGCCCTGCACTTGGCCGTGATACATCAGCATGAGCCCTTCCTGGATTTCCTCTTGGGCTTCTCCGCCGGCACTGAGTACCTGGACCTGCAGAATGACCTAGGCCAAGGAACCCACTGGGGATGGGCCCCCTAGGGAGCCGGGTCCAGGATTGTCAGTGCTGCCCTAACCCCTCCCCTCTATCCCTATAGACAGCCTTGCACCTAGCAGCCATCCTGGGGGAGGCATCCACGGTAGAGAAGTTGTATGCAGCTGGCGCCGGAGTGTTGGTGGCTGAGCGAGGGGGCCACACCGCTCTGCACTTGGCCTGCCGGGTGAGGGCACACACGTGCGCATGCGCGCTGCTCCAGCCCCGCCCCAGACGCCCAAGGGATGTCTCAGATACCTACCTCACTCAGAGCCAGGACAATACCACAGACACCGGCCCCACCCCTGTTGCTGTGAACCCTCAACCCAACCCAGAGATCGAAGAGGATCCGAGTGATGAAGACTGGAAGCTGCAGCTAGAAGCTGAAAACTATGAGGGTGAGGGCCCTGGGCCCTGGGAAGGACGAGAGCCCCTGGCCAGAGTCAGGGAAACAAACCACCTGCTCTTCTTACCCAACTTGAAACACAGCCGCTGGCATAGAGCCCTGGGTTTGATTCCCAGCATAACCTAGCATGGTGGTGCCCTTGGGAAGTGAAAGCAAGAGGATCAGGAGTTCAAGGTTGTCTTTGGTGCTTTGTAGTTTGAAGCCAATCTAGGTTCAGGAGACCCTGTCCCATCTCAGGGTATGGCCGTGTGCAGCTGTGATCCCAGCACTTGGGTGACAAAAGCCAGGAGCAGAAACATCATGAGATCATGTTAGATGCATAGTGAGCCCCTGTTTCAAAAAGAACCCCAAAGCAAAATCATCCCTAGGCTCCAGGAATCCCAGCACTGGGACTAAGGACCTCCACTCAGCCTGGGAGTGTGAAGAATTGGACAGACAGGGCTTCTCTTTCCCAGATCTGGTCATCAAACTACTTGCAGCCCAGACCTGCCACCCACAGAGCCAGAAATGCCAGGATACAGTGGTTGAGCCTAGGCTACCCATCTGCAAGGTGCCTTTGTTCCAGAACTGTTCCCAAGTCAAAGCCACTAGCCCAGCCTGTCCAGGATGGGAGGACCCATCTCATGCTCCGAGCCATGGGCAGATGGTGCAGAGCTTACCCTCCTCAGTCAGGCCTCCTGGGAAAAGAACTAAGGTCATCTGGTAGCCAGTGTCCCAGGTCTTTTGTGCAACTCCTTTTGTTATTGTGCTTTGTTTTGTTTTGTTTTATTTATGATGCTGGGGATGGAATTTAAGAGCTGTTCATGCTCGTCAAGCCCCTGTTCTTTGTGAAGGAAGACCAAAGACTTGATCCTGTTGGTCCACAGACTATGTGCCCAGACTCATCCCTTGTAGATCCCAGATACTGTACCACTCAGGCTTACACCCACCAGCATGCTGACACCCAAGACTTAGGCATCTGGAATTCGGGAGCCAGCCCCCAAACCTGGTATCTTTAGCTCACGTGGCCTTTCCCTAGGGTTGTGACAGAGCTGAGGCGCCTTAGTTTATCTGACACTGGTTGCTCTGTCCCCAGGCCACACCCCACTCCATGTAGCTGTCATCCACAAAGATGCAGAGATGGTCCGGCTGCTCAGGGATGCTGGAGCTGACCTCAATAAACCGGTGAGCCACTGTGGTGGGCCAGTGTGTGAAGGCACCCTCCCGTCTTTGGTTGGTCTCCCTGACTGATCTGGCATATCCCACAGGAGCCCACGTGTGGCCGGACCCCTCTGCACCTGGCGGTAGAAGCCCAGGCAGCCAACGTACTGGAGCTTCTTCTGAAGGCTGGTGCTGACCCTACCGCCCGCATGTATGGGGGCCGCACCCCACTTGGCAGTGCTCTGCTCCGGCCCAATCCCATCCTTGCCCGCCTCCTCCGTGCACATGGAGCCCCTGAACCTGAGGATGAGGATGATAAGCTCGGCCCTTGCAGCAGCAGCAGCAGCGATAGTGACAGTGACGGCAGAGATGAGGGCGTGAGTGAGGAGTGGGCGTCCCCACGGGAGGGGTCAGGGCAAACCGTGGCGGATGCTCCCAGGGACTTAGACAAGGGACACGTGAGATGAGGAGAAACTTATAGACTTGGGCAAGGGTGGCGGTGGTGGCTGAAGAGCTAAGGCAATCTGTCCTGGTGGCACACACCATTAGTCTTGAATCTCAGTATTCAGGAGGCAGAGGCAGGTGGATGTCTGTGAGTTTAAGGCCAAAGAACAAAGACGAGCCAAGTTAGACTTCCTCCAGAGGTGGTCACGAACACAGGTAGGGAGGGTCTGAGCATCGGAGGTGACTTTGGGAGCAGGATTGCCGAACTTAGGCTGTAGGTAGGTGACCTTGGTCAGAGTGGCCAGAACACTGATGGTAGAGAAAGACCTCAGGCAGCGGTGCAGGGAGCATTACTGAAGAACCCAGACAACGGCACACCCCTGTGTAGGGGTTGGTATAGCATGAAGAGGGTTGAGGGTGGGTGAAGGCAGAGGGGAGACGGGAGAGAGCCACTGTAAGGCTGGAGCACAGGGGTAAGGGGGGAAGGTGGTCTTGAGAACCAGGACCTCCAGCGTGAGAGGAGGTGCACTGAGTGGGAACCATATCGGAGGGGCAAGGGGACACAGGCGTCAGAGGGAGACCCCATTAAGTGCCGTGCCCTGGGCAGTGGGCAAGGTGGCAGCTACCTGACCCCTGTGTTATCCCTCTCTGTCCCCAGGATGAATATGACGACATTGTGGTCCACAGTGGCAGGATCCAAAACTGGCTACCTCCCTCCCCGGCACCCAAACCTCTTCCTGATGACTCCAACCCCGCCTGACTTAATTTCTAATATTAATATAATTTCCATTTAATAAAGCTTGAGACCTGAAGCCAGAGCCCAGACTGAT